AAGAGGTGTTTCTTCGTCATCACTAGAAAGTTCAATTTCTTGAACTTTTCTCTTTTTGGTGTGGATTTCTTAGTAGCCTAAAGGAAAGAAGTCGAAAACGTCAGCATTAGTGTTGGTGTTTTAAAAATAAATTGATGGTAAAAAGTGTTTACCTGTGGTGGGGGTTTCGTAGACAGATCTTCTCCCTTTGAACTTTCAGTGACCTTCTTGGTAATTGGTTTTGAAATGGCTCTCTTAACAGCTAAAAAATAAGAAAATGTGAGCTAGATATCGTAAGAGTGAATTAAAACAAAATAAGGAATTTGCTTTGGGAAGAAAGAGTACCTTTCTTAATCTTGTCGAAAACTAACAGAAAAGAATCTTGAAGATGGTTGGCAAAATCTTTGGCGTTGAAGAACTCTTCGTCATAGTATTGCCTCCATCAGTCTTTGAAGACGATTGAACACAAAAAGTTGGGTTTGAAATTGAACAAGGTTAAAACAGTTCGACCAACATATCTACCAATTTGCTTGGTGGCAGCCTCTTTAGAATAGTCTGCATTATAATATAGCAAAGACTTTTCTCGAGCATAGATGGGATTTGGAAGCGATTGAATAATGCCAAAATGGCGAGAAACAAGGTTTGGATGGTAAGTGATCAAGCTAAGTTGATTCTTGGAACTTTTGAATCTCAGTGGCATAATCCTTGGGCGTAAAAAGGACTCCCAAACAACCACATATTCCTTGACATGATCGTCAGTTGAGGGATATAATCAAGTAAACCATGTTGGACCAACCTTTCGATTAGTACATGGAGCCATGGTCGAAACAGACTCGTTTCGCTTTGCAAACATCATCACGAAGCTGGTAAAAGCCTTTTGGAATTGTTGGCCTTCATCTATTGGAGTCAATAGAGCCAATCTGGTGCTTTTGACCCTCCTGTTGAGAATTTCTGGAGTCTTCTCATTAATTATCTTCTTCTAAGGAAGGAATGATTCGAAAGTGGCATTAAGCCAGAGTTGGAGAAGCCAGAAAGGGCAAGAAAGAAGCAGGCTTGCTCTATTGCCTATAACTGAGTTGAGTCACACCATTACCGATGGACTCATAAAGATTGGCCAGAATTAATTCAGTCAAACAAAGGTTGTAGCCATGGTGAAGTTGAGTGGCCAGAGTAAGCATCTTCTTTGTCACTTGGAGTGACTTAGTGCAGAAAACAAAACGGGATAACCCTAAAGCTAAGAAAGCTATAAGTTCCACTTCAGAGACAGTATCGGTTGATTTATCATGAAAGTGGTTGATGAAGGTGGTATAAGTGGTTTTCGTGGCTGAAAACCCAATGGTGTCTTCAGACATATCATCAGGGTCGAGGTAATCACCAGTTAGTCAAAGGCCAGTGATGGCTGCAATATCAAAGAGAGTGAGTGTCACCATTCCACAAGGTAAATGGAAGGTGTAGTGTGTGTTGTCCCAGAAATACAAAGAGGACATCAGCATAAGAGGACAATAAGCTAACCCAGTCTTCGACAGCATGACTAGGTCATAAATTCCCATATCTTCCCAGATTTGGGATTGAGCTACTTCCATCTTAACCAACCACTATGAGTATTCTGAGGTCAAGCTAGGGCAAGACCTGAAGATTCTATTCCCTTTGTTCATGAACTGAAGGTTTATATCCTCCTTCGTCTGGGAATGTTGTTGGTTGGAAGGCGTTGCATCTTCAGGTTCATTTCTAGGCTTCTTTGCCAACCTATGGGTTTAAGTCTAGGGTGAGTTGGGAAAAAGGCGTTGTTTTGTTTAGGGTTTTCAAAACACACAGACAACGGATTAGACAACATACATTTGTCTAGAATATATGTCAGGAATGAGTACCTGTGAGTTGTATGCATCGCGTTCTTTTTTGGTCATAGGTTCAGGAACGAACCTTCATTCCCCAGACGAAGCATGAATGAAGTTGGTTAGGAAAACATCTATTTACTGTCGTGAATCAGAGGCGTCTTTTTTCTTTGGGTTGTTTGGAGCATTTGAAAGAAAGGCCATGGTTTTGTTGGTAGAGATATTATGAAAGAGATGAAGTTTTTAAGGATTTATTTTTGAATGCAAAGAGACAAAGAATATCAGACGGTTAGAAAAAAATAATCCAAAGGGAGATGTTCGTGGCTATTTATAGAAGCCATGGAAGAGTGTAGAAGCCATGGAAGAGTGTAGAAGCCAAGGAAGAATGTTTTCCCTCAAAGTCATTTAATGCTGCAAAGTGAGTGGGACACGTGGTGATCTTTGAAGCAGTTGTACAGACAAGTGATGGGAACGCTTGCCATGCTTTCCTAGGTTATACGGATAATGGTTATCATGACAGCATGTAACGACTGACTGATAGTGACATATTGGAAAAAGTGTAATGATGGCTCTGATGCCAGCAGTGGTTGGTAGAAGATGAAAAGTTCACTGTGAACTTATGTGACCATGAAATGGACAGGTGTCAAATAGAAACATCAAAGAATGGTTATTTATCCTTGTGTCGAAATTGACATTCTTGGGGGGCAACTTGTTAGCTCATAAATTCGACACTCACACATATTGACCTTATTGGCTAAAAATAGATTGAAGAAATCTAAGTTGAAGACACTTAGACAGAAGATCCTATGAAAGGAGTTGTGTCGAAGTCATCATTGCTAAGAAGGAGGAAACACTTAGAGAATTTTCTAAGTTAAAGACAGTCTTCGACCGAGAGGCCCTTGTATCAGCAGCAAGTGGATTTGAATTTGAAGAAAGGAGGGAAAGACAGTTCATTTGGCAGTTAGGAAAAGCAATGTGGCATGAAGATATGGGTCGAAGAGCATGTAGAGGACACTTGTCCTAATCCTGGAACGAAGCAACTGTTCGACAGTTACTTATTACTAGTATAAATATAAGAATTTTGTGTAGAATTTCGTGTGTTCAACTTATTGTACAAGTCACTCAATTTTATTCAAGTACCCGCTGTGAGAGAAAGAATATTGAGAATGTACGTTTGAATCACCATACTTTATTGCAATCAAATTCTTTACATTTATTTTACAATCGTGCCATTTAACATTTCTCTGCAAACTTTACCATTATAGCCTTTTAAATTACTGCAAATTTACTTTATCCTGCACTTTACTTGCGTTTTTATCAAGTTTTTATCTTCATCCCACCTTTACTCTTAGTATCCGGTTGAACCTGTTCATGAACAAAGTTAAGACTTTTTATCAAACTCCAAAAAACACTTAGCATATGTCCTAGAAATAAACTGATTGATCCTACAAGTAACCAAAATAACCCTTTTGAAAGATCAACGGTTGTTTACCAATTTTAACGGTAAATAGATACACTTGAAACAATACTTTGTAACCCTCCATCTGTTATTTTGGAGTATTGTAATGATTTAACGAAATGTACATAACATAACAAAGAAGCACAAGGTTGTGGAATCACCTGTTTGTCGTTAACGACCATTTTAAAGTGTTCTTTGGTATCAGATTTGACCGTCCATTTGTGATGGACTCTCACGGCTAGCTTCCACAACTGTTTTTTATCGGTGATATCGTGAATCTCCTCGAATAGTCACACCATTCTCTTCGTGGATGCAAGACGGTGGCTGGTTATGATTATTAGAACGAGTTCAAGGTTTAGGTTGTAGAGCGGGGATGATATACGGTACAAAGTGGTTTTGCAAGATGAAAGAGAGAGAGAGTGGGTATGGTATAATAGAAGAAGGTTGTTCAGGTGAGGTGACAATATAGGAAAGCGTGCACGACAGATAGATATTGTGTAGGTTTTGCAACATAAGTTAGGTTTGAGAGAAGTTTTTAGTTAGTCTCAAGCCATTTGTACGTAAAGGCTAATAAATGCATGGTTGCATCTTAACAATTGGTCACATAGTTATAGTAAAGACATCAAAAGACATGAAGTGATGTCAAAGTGACAATATGGAAGATAAACAAGCAAGGACAAAGTGGTCTTAACCAAAGGATATAGAGTTCTTATATGGTAGAAATCCATTTTACATCTTTAAGTGATTCTTTTGAATGACATGCTATTATAAAGAACTTAAAATATAATTATAATAAAAAAATAAAATTTAATAATCAAATTATAAGTTAAATATAATATAAAATTTTAACAATAATATGTTATAAAAATCATTTGACAAAACGTAGATATTAACAACTGATATATTAAAAAAATGATATATTTTGATAAACCAATTAATTATTAAATTATAAAATTATAAACTAAATATATGATAAATTAATGATATATCATAAAAAAAAAAGTCATTAAAATACGTAACATAAATTTTTTTAAAAATATTGAGATTAAAAAAAAATCAAAGTTTGAATATTTTTTCAAAATAAAAACTCATATTTTGAACAAGCAAAAATGTATTAACAAATATAAAACTAAAGTATAAATTTATGCAAAGATATTTTCTCTATACAATTATTAATTATTAATTTTATAAAATTAATTTAAAAGTGTTTTTGAAAAGTAAATCATACATGCCCTAATTCAGTTAATTTTTTGAATTAATTTTTAACTAACGAGAGAATTCAGTTAGATCCTTTTTCTCGGATGCATATATTTAAGCACACTATATTCATGGAGGATTAATATAATATATACCCATATTCATAACAAAAAAACAAACTAAAGGAGATATAAACATCTCTTAAAAAACAAACTAATCTTTTAAATCATGTATTTTAAAAAAGAAATCGGTTTTGATTTGATAATTTGAAATTAATTTGTTATTGCTAAGAAGATATGAAACAAACAGTGAAGCTTAAACTTAAGTTCGCTATAAATCAGCCATACACTTTGATAAATCAGCCAAAGAAATAAATAAATATATATATATATATATATATATATATATATATATATATATATATATATATATATATATATATATATATATATATATATATATATATATATATATATATATATATATATATATATATATATATATATAGTAACATACAGTTTGATTGAATTTTCATGAGTTTGAAGCTTATGGAGAATTGCGATTTTACTTCTAGAATTATAGAAGAACCTTCAAACGACGAGAGTTGCAAGAGCAAGAACAAGAAAACAAAGACAAATAGGGAAAGATCAAACAAGCCATCAAAGAAACTAAAGAAGAAAATCAGCAACAAGGCGGAACTCCCCTTGGCGTTTAAAGAAAAGATTGAACAAATGGAGGTGATGAGGTGAAGTTCGTGATCGAGAAGGAACTAACCAACAATGATGTGACCCAAAATAATGATCGTCTCTCCATCCCAAAAGGAAAGATTAACGAGAGTTTTCTAACACCAGCGGAGGAATCGTACTTAGATTATGAGCGTAATAAACAAGAGAAGATTGATGGTATTTATGTATCTCTGTTGGATCATGATCTTAACCTTTGGGATGAAATGTGCTTAAAGAAGTGGAAAATGGAGACCGCTGAAGTCTACAATATCACAGATGGATGGAACAAACTTGTAGCAGATAACAATTGGAAAAAAAGGCCAAAAGGTGTTGGTGCAACTTTGATCTTTCAGACGCAACCACAAGCTCTATTTTGCACTCGCCAAGCTTTCAAAAGACGAGTAGTGAAGTTTTTTTATGGTGAAAGACTTTACATTTCTTTAAAGAAAATTTTCTTTATGGAGTGTTTTTGACATTTGTGCTTCTAGATTTTCTTAAGTTTTCTTATTTCCTCCTTTTGGCAAGATTTTGTGCTTCCTTAGTTTTGCTTATGTATTGTTTGTTGCAGTAATCATTACTTTAACAATTGTTGTGTCTTGCTTAATTTTAATTTTAATTTATTATTATTATATTGTTTCTATATTAATGAAGTAGAAATCATAGATATTTTGATGAAGTAGAAAGAGCATATTAAAGAGAGTTTGATTATCTTTATTGTGTGATTATTTTCTCTATCTCAAAATAAAAGTCTTTTTAGTCAAAAAAATTTGTCTCAAAATAAGCGTTTTTTTTACGTTTTTAACTTAACATTAATTAATTTTTATCAACTTTACTACTAATAAGTGTATGTTTGGCTCCACTCTACAAGACCTATAATCAAATTTTGAGATATAGAATTGATTCTGAATGATTTTGAGATGTTTATATTTTAAAAGTAGAATTGACTCTAGAATTTATTCTACTTGGAGGTAGAATTTGTAATTTCTGCCTCCATAATTGATTATGAGTAATTTTTATACTTTAAAATTTATTGTTCAACTCACGTTTACACAATTGTATCTAAACATAAATCAATTCAGCTAAATTCAATTATTATAAAATCAATTTTATCCAACTCAATTATACTAAAATCAATTATGTTCACTACAAATCCAAACACACACACTTAATACTACTTGTCTACACAAATTTCAAACTATTATATCATATTACACCTTTATGTCAACCAATAATAATTAAAGATAGTTTTGTAAAAGTATTACATTTAATTTTTCAATTATTATTTTTCTTAATCTATATTGATCAACTTTAAAATACATTTATTTTAAGGTTAAATATATTTTTGATCTTTATAAATATCTCAAATTTCATTTATTTTAGAATTTTTTAAAATAAGAAGAATTAAATATGATTTTTTTAAATTTCAAAAGATATTGATAAAAATTATGAAAATCTCGACTGAGAAATCAAATTTTGAATTTCTTTTTATCCAATAAACTTTTTATAACGTTCTAAACATGTCTACAAAGTAATCATTCAAAAATATATATTAGTTTAACAACATAAACTAAAATTATATGCCTAATAATTTTATAGGGACTAAAACATGTCATTAACTAAAAATGAAATTTAAAATATTTATAGAAATCAAAAATAAAATTTATTTATTTATTACTAATTACATCCATTCATTCATTCGGGACTCAAATTTGACTACAAACCAGTTAATCTTTTGAAGGCAGAACAATCTCATCCTGGTCTCTTTTCCTTTCCCATTCTTTATAGTATTATCAATTATAACACTATATTTTGTTAATTTGATTTTCAAATCTTCATTCAGAATTTCTCCAGCTCAACCCTGTTGGTTTTGTTCGTATTCTTGTCGACGACTCTGCTGTAATTTTTTACTCCTTTGCAATTATCATGGTCAGTCTCTCTCATTTTCATTCATTTTTCTAAATATTCAAACCTTTGTTTAATTTAAGGATTTAATTTATCTCTACATTTTTATGTTTTCTATCTATCTATGCACACGGTATTTGGAAGATAAGTATCCTCAATATCCTTTACTCCCTACTGATATTCATAAAAGAGCAATCAATTTCCAGGTACAAATCTAATCTTTTTTTCCAAAATCAAATAATATATTGTACTACTGCTTGCTTATTTTATATGCGGTAAATGGATTCCTTTCTAATGATTTGATTCACATTCACAGGCTGTGAGTATTGTTTCTTCATTAATACAACCTCTTCAAAACCTAGATACTCTGGTATGCATGTATGTCGCCTCTTTTCTTATTCATTTCGAGGGTTTCGATTGTATATGATAAGTTTGTCGCTATTTTGGAGGAGGAGGAGTTACAGTAAGGGAACAGGGGTCTGAATCACTTAGGTGTGATGTATATTAAGTATTTAGGTGGTTAAAACTCAAAACGCATGAATGGATTTGGAGATGGCTGAGTAAGATTCACAACTGTCAAGCTATGGCAGATTTTCAATGGCAAAGTGTTTGGGAGTGTTTTTGAGTCTTAACATTCGTGTGTTAGGTTGCAATACACTTGTGTATAAGTATAGAAAAGGTTAGACATCAAGCTTTCTCAAGATTTCTGAGTTATAGCCTTTTGGCTCTATTACTTACTTTTGAAGAAAAGTGAGGAGACAAGTATCTAAGTGTTGTACAAGCATGGTCTGGTTTGGTAGAGGCTTCAGGCAAGTTGCTTTTGGTTTTGGCTTTGCTTGTGTGCAGAGAAAACAATTGAGAGGCTCAAGAAGTGGAAAATTGCAAAAGTTGTGCTTTATCAAAATGGAAATGACACCTTTGTGCCAAAAATAGAATTGCTCTTGTACAATGCATTCAATGCTTGGCTTAAAGCTTCCAAAATATGTGAAATCATTTAATTATGGAGTGAGAAACAAGTTTGAGGCCTGCAAAGCAAATATTATGCAGCCTAGGCTTGGATTTGAATTTTTGTTCATCATGAAATGGCTTGAAATCAAAGTGATAAATCACCAACTTCAACTCTTCGATTCTCCCTACTCAAGAATGATCTCAAGGAGTTCTTGGATATTTTGGAAAGCTTGAAATGTGCTATATAACTCATCTTTGAATTGCTTTTGAAGATTCCCCTTGGAACTATGTGAAAAATTGGCATGAAGTTAGGTCAAAAATTTGTCTAACTAGGGCAAAATTTCACTAAGTTATTTTAGTTCATGAGCATGTATTCACAAAATTATATTTTGAGATCCAAGCATTCTTAGGAGAAATTGTGTGAAGAAAAGTTGTAGATTTCATGTAGAACTACAACTTTCATGTTGGAAGTTTCCTTTGAATCATCTTGCATCATGGTGAAAATTTGGCTCAAAGTTGAGAAAAAATAAGAAATTTTCTATACTTAGAAAAATTTCTAAGTTAAGAAATTTCCACTTTTCAAAACAAAATCTTGAATCCTTGATTTCTTGATGAAAAAGTTTCACATTTTGATATGTTTTGATGAATTATGATCTTTGGCATTTGATTTTGACCAAAAAGTCAAAGTTTGACTTTTCAGTATACAGTTGACTTTTGATCAGTTGACTGAAAAATTCATCTGTCCATCCAATGGATTTGCAATGTTTTGAATCATGCTATTAGGTAAAAATGATGTAATTGAACTCTTGAAATCATGCTTCAAACCAATTGATCATTTTCTAGGTCAAAAATCAGAAATTGCCTTTCCCAGTCAAAACCCTAATTTTGACCATTTTGCCCTTTTGGAGATTTGATCAAATTCCTTGAGGAGTTGTGGTCCAAACTTGATCAAATGATACATATGAGTCTAAAATGTTGATGTGGATAAAAAATTATGAATTTTGACTGTAAATTGGCCATAGTTGACTTTTTCCCCAACACAAATGATTTTTTGGTCAACTACTCAATTGACTGATCAAAATTGTGATTCAAGGCTTGAAACTTGACATGAGTAATCTTGGAGGTTCCTAATGATCCTTGAAAGTCATATGAAGCATTGATAGTCCAAAAATCCTTGTGCAAACTCAAACCCTAATTTTGGTCATCAGTGCAAGAGGAGGTGTCTTGAGCTGGTCAAACCCTAATGCAGTCTTGAATCAAAGAGATATTGTGAGGAAATTATTGATAAATGAGAGGGCAAATTTTGGGGTACAACAGACTCTTTTGAATTCAAATATTTGTATTCATTATCTTTCCTTTCTTTCAAATGCATTTTCAAAAATAGCTATGTATCTTACATGCACACACACACACACACATTCTCGCAGGTCCTCATCCACTCTAGAACCTATTGCCATTGACTATACTATTTCCGACTATGACTTTGAATGCCCAATTAACCAAGCCGAAGATGAAGGCGGGGAAGATTGTGACATACCAGGAGGATTATTCAGACTTCTATTACAAGAGGAAAAAACTATTCAACCGCACAAAGAGTCAGTTGAAGTCATCAATCTGGGTACTGAAGCAGATAAGAAGGAAGTCAAGATTGGTGCTAACTTGGAAGACAGTGTCAAGAGCAGGTTAGTTCAGATCTTGCGTGATTATGTGGAAGTATTTGCTTGGTCTTATGAAGATATTTCTGGGTTGGATACCGACATCATAGTTCATCGTCTGCTGACAAAAGAAGACTGCCCTTCCGTTAAACAAAAGGTTCGTCGCATGAGGCCTGATATGTCTGAGAAGATCAAAGCTGAAGTAATGAAACAGTTTGATGCAGGGTTCCTAGCCGTGACATCCTATCCCCAATGGGTTGCTAATATGGTACCAATACCGATAAAGGACGGGAAAATTCGCATGTGCGTAGACTAGAAGAAGCGCGTCATTCTCACTCTTCCATATTGTATATTCCTTCAGTCTTAATTTATAAAATATTTTAAAATTTTCATATGTATTAAAGTAATCATTTGTTGTATGATAAAGAAAAATTGTGTATGATTTTATATTATTGTACTTTATTAATTATAGAAGAAAAAAAAATTAAAAGAATTAAAAGAAAAAAGAAAAATAAATAATAGAGAGTATATTGAAAAAATCATTATTAATATTACATTGGAATTATAAAATGGCTTAAAATTTAGGATAAATTTTTTCTTCAAAATGTATTATAATTTGGAACAGAAAGAATCCTTCATTACTAATATATTAGTTTGTGTTTTTTGTCATATTGATTGTTTTTGAGAATATTTTAAAAATGAATATTAAAATAAAAATCCTTTTATACGAGAGAAAAAAATTGGAAAGAAAATAAATAAGAGAAAAAAATGTAGTAAAAATGAAGTGGAAGTAAAGGAAAAAATTAAGAGAATTTTTTAATAGTCATTAAGGAAGAAAATTAGTCGAGTCGAGTCGAACTCATCTCAGTTCGGCTCGATTCATTAAAAATTTGTTCATCTCAAATATCGGTTTGAGTTTGTCATTATTTTCTTTTTCAGCTCAAGTTCTGACTAGTTAGAAGTTCATGAATAACTCGGTTTATCTCGTTAAATTCATCTGTTCAATTCACTTATTTCACGGACTTAAAAGTTTTTTTTTTAAATTTAATTTAATTTATTTATTTGACATTTTAAATTGATATGTTTTTTAAATAAAAAATATAGATATAAAATAAATTTAGAATTTATACGATGTGGATTTTATTTGTATAGTTATTTTTATAAATATTTTGCACATTGAGAATATAAATTATCAATTAAAATCGTTAGAATAAATCAAAATATATAGCTAAGATTTAGAAAAAATATTTAAACTTACTCTTAAAAACAATATATTTCATCTCATATATAATCGAGTTGACTTATAAATTTAACGAATCGAATTATGTATAGTTTAATTTTAACTCATTTAATTAACGAATTTAGTTTTTAATTCATATTCAACTCATTTGATTCATGAACCTAATTAAACTATTTAAATGTCAAATTGAGTTTCAAATTATTTTTGAGTTGGTTTAGTTTATTATCATCCCTAATTATCATTAATAAAAATTAACATGAGAGAAAAGAAAAGCATTTCTTCCATTATTTATTATAACTCATATATTAAAAAAATAGATAATAGTAACATGTCTCCTTAGGATAATATGTGTATTTAGGACATAAGTTAAGAATTAAATTAAAAAATTTAATCTTAAAAATTGTGTATTAAATTTATTACAATCATATAATTATTTTTTAATTAATTTTTCCAAAACAAATTTTCTAGTAATTATAAGTTTCTTAATATGTATCCTTAAAGTACATATTAGAATTACCTTAAAAAAATATAATTATTGTTACATTAAAAATAATTATCAAAGATTTTGTAAAATTACTTTTTATTAATGTTATAAAAAATATATATTTAAAGAATTAAAAGAAAAATACTATTAAATATTAAATGGTATAATAAGAATAATAATTATAATGATTTATAAGTATTGCAAAATAATATATAATTTAATATTCTATATGGTCCTGTTTATAATTTTAAATACATTGATTAATTAATCAATGTTTCTAAACAATATATAAACTAAATAAATTAGTTATTTAATAAATTAAAAAAATAAACTTTTTTTATAAACAGTATTAAAAGAGTATAATTTTTTTTTGAAGTGATTATACTAAAAAAAATAAAGAGATTGTAAAAGATATAAATACTTCTATAAAAAAAATATGTTTTTTATTAAGACTGGCGATCAATCGAATGAATTCGAAAATAGTTTAAAATTCGATCGGATAATTAAATCGTTAAATTAGATTTATGAATCAAATGAATTGAATATGAACTAAAAACTAAGTTCGTTAACTAAATGAGTCGAATTTAAACTATACATAGTTCAACTCGTTATGTTCATGAGTCAATTTTCTTTTAATCTAACGGTTTTTATTAATAATTAATATTCTCAAGTGAGCAAAATATTTCTAAAAATAATTATACAAATAAAATCAATATCGTATAAATTTCAATCTTATAATTTTTATTTTACTTCTATATTTTTTATTTAAAAAATAATAATTTATAATGTCAAATATATAAAAATAATAGATTTTTAAAAAAATGGCTTTTATGTCTGTGAAACAAACGAGTTGAATCTAATGAAATGAACCTAACAAATTGAACCGAATTGTTCGTGAACTTCTAACTAATCAAATTTAAACTGGAAAAAATGTTTGTGACAAACTCAAACCAATATTTAAACTGAATTAATTCTTAACGAATTGAGCCGAACTAAGACAAATTCAACTCAACTCATTTTCAGCCATAGTTTTCATAAATATGTTAAATGGGTGCGTGTTGTCGATTCAATGTTTAACATCGGCCAATAACATTTCTTTATATTTTATAATGTATTAATGTAAACACGTCTTTAATATTTATAAATCATCAAATTAAAAAAGTTTTTTAATTTAATTATTTTAATTATTATTAATATTGGTTTTATCATTTCAGTTTATATTTTTAATATGCTTATTTTTCTATATTAGAAGATTGCAAAATGTCATAGAAAAAAATAATGATAACATAGGGAATAAGAATTGAACAACGAGTGGTTTGTAATTTCAATCGAATGATTATTTTTACCAACTTTCCAGTCATATTAAGTCATATTAGGAGTAGCTCGGAACTTGACTTCTAGTAGGTCCCATCCCAGCTCGATTCTTCTTTCCTTCTCCCTTTCATTGCAGTACAGACTATAGAAAGTTACAATCGATTCATTTTCTTATCTATTGCCAATCATGTCTACTTCACGGTCTCTGAAAATTGGCATAGTTGGATTCGGTTCCTTTGGTCAGTTTCTGGCTAAGACTATGATCAAACAAGGTCACACTCTAACTGCAACTTCTCGAACTGATTACTCTCATTCATGCCTCCAATTGGACATCCAATTCTTCAGGTAAAACATCATACTTTTTCCTTAATGGATTAATATAAGGAAACCAAATTTCAGTATCATAATAGTATGTCGACTTAACACTGCGTTGCAGGGATGTTAGAACATTCATTGAGGCAAACAACGATGTCATACTCATATGTACATCCATTCTGTCTTTTTCTGAGGTTCTTAGTTCTTTGCCACTTTCTTGTCTGAAACGACCAACAACACTCTTTGTTGATGTCCTTTCAGTCAAGGAGCACCCAAGAGACCTTTTATTACGGGTACAACTTTTTATTTGTTAGGCTTTTAACCATAGGTTTTTGGTGAAAAAGACCGATGAAACAGATACTCTCAAACGGACACAGACACAGACACAAGACATGGAAACTCTGGGACCCTCATAATGTCAAAAAGATAAGACGGTAGTAATCCTCCAGCCCGTGTTTTCGTAACAGGTACTGCCAGAGGAGTCAGATATACTCTGCACGCATCCCATGTTTGGACCAGAAAGTGGAAAGGATGGGTGGAAAGATCTCACTTTCATGTATGATAAAGTTAGAATACGTGACGAAGATACCTGCTTTAATTTCCTTCATGTTTTTGCTAGTGAGGTAAGTTAATTCTTTAGTCATTTGTCATCAACTCATCATCACCTTTCCAACTATTTGTACAGACAATGAAATAGTAAAGTGTGGACTTAGTTTTCACCCAACAACACTTTGAATCAGTAGTAGTATATTCTAAAAAATTTAATGCAGTAGAAATCATAACTCAAAACAACTGATAGAAAAATGAAACACAGGTATAGTCATAAATTTAATAGCTTTAGCACGAGGCTCTACCCAAATCACAATTTACAAATTAATCTCTTTTAACTCAACTCAATTCTGCAACAAGTTTTTAACAGAGTCTTCAAGGTTTAACATTAGGAAACTGAAGCTTGCATTCCAAATGAAGCACTTATTTGAGGTGATACTTTGTTTGAACAGGGTTGTAGGATGCTACAAATGTCTTGTGAGGAGCATGATAAAATAGCTGCGAAGAGCCAGTTTATCACACACAGTGTAGGCAGGTAAGCTGGATTCTGAACCTCAAATAAAACATGTCCTAATATACATAACCAGTAGGTAAAATATTGGGCTTCTCTTTTGGTAGGACATTGGCAGAAATGAATATTGAGTCTACACCTATTGACACAAAGGGCTTTCAGACACTTGTTCAACTGGTACACCTTCAATCATTTTGTTTTCAAACTTTTTCTCATTCTTCATCCAAAAGCTTTCTTAATTACGCACGACACAGCGAGGATATGATAAATTGACACACCACAACTTAATTGCAGAAGGATACCACCATGCGAGATAGTTTTGATCTGTATAGTGGATTATTTATATGTAACAGATTCGCTCACCAAGAGGTAGGGAACTAACTATCTCATTCATTTTATTGAAATATTAAAACAAGTATACAAACATAGACTCATGGGTTGTGTCAAATATACAGCTGGAAAATCTCCAACATGCCTTGCACAAAGTTAAAGAGATGCTGGTTCAAAGGATGAGTGAGGAGCTGAGTCCCAAACATGACTGAATGTTGATGCATAATAATCTTGTTGACCTTGTTCGTTCATTAAATACGTTTCATCATTTTCTTTTCTTATCCATTGAGCAAAATATCTATGGTATTTTCAAAATCAACCATTACTGGAAATTGTGTTTAATAATGAGAGCATCTTTCATATATGGTGCAAATATCTCCAAGCATGTTTGAACACATACTTGGGGAACAAAAAGGACTCGGGCAAGCAGACAAACTCAGAAACTAGAGTACTTTTTTGCTTTGCCTACGTCTTCTTATAAATAATAACAAAACTTGAAATAGTTAATACAATATAGCTTATGCAACTAGTATGCCAAATATGGCTAAATGCCAATTTAGCCAAATATAATTGCAAAGATCAATATTTCTGAATCTATTGTTAAAAGAATTTGCCAATATGTCTATATGTTATTTGCTACAGAATACAAAAAATAAATGGCGCATAAGGAATCATCAACAATAGGAAAGGCTGGCTCACTTGATAATGTTGAATGATGGTAAGACAGCAATAAGAGGGTCTCCAAAACCAACAGCCTCTGAAAACAGTAACCAGAAAAAACACTAAGAAATTCTTCAAAACTATGTATGTTGTACTTAAAAAGAAGTGAATGTTCAATCAATGGATGTTGAATTGAACCCATCATCAAGAACTTTCAAGTTAATGTTCCAGCCAAGTGAGCTAAAAGCTCAGAAAATTGGTGAGACTATTAAAATCCTTTCTATTATACATATACTTGAAACCTAGCATTTTAACAAACCATTTTTCTCTAGTCTTGGTCAATCTTTTTTGCAACACTTAATTACTTGAAGCTAGCTTATATTGCTCTTATTTGAGAAGAGCCATGCTACTTGAATCCTACATGCATTTTAATAGAAGTCACAAACACTATACCTCCTTCCTGAAAGAGTAGCTTCAACACTTCTCCAGCCACATGCGACTGCAAGATTTGAAAGGAAAAAAAAAAGTCAGGAGCAGTACACATGAAGGATGAATAGTTACAGAAATCGACAATGATCACCTTCACAGGAAGTGAAGTGCCAAATTGATCCAAATAGCCTATAACTTGTCCATCTTTGATTATATCACCCTGTGGATTTTAAAATTGAAAACTGGAAATTGAGTTTATGCAAAAATACGGAAAATTTGAAATACATTTTAAGGTTACAACATAAAATTACGTTGGTAAAAATATACAGGTCAACCTATATCAGAGTTCCCAAGATAAAATATCTAATTTACATTTTAATAGATAATTTTACGTAAAAATGCCTATTTGTTAAAACAATTTGGGATTCTGCTATGGGTTATATGGACAATAGACACAGGAACATGTCAAATACCTCTTTACATATAGGAGGTAACTTCGTCCCTTTCACAGTTCTACCTCTTCGAAATGAACCAACCTAGAAACAGAGAGGGAGAGAGAAGAAAAATAGTGATTGCAGACTCTACTTAGCTCATGTCCAAGATGGTAACTAGATGAAAGCAAAACTCAACATATAGATTTATATATGGCATACCGTAGGAGATGCTACCAAGACATAATTTTTTGTATCAGATGCCTCCAATGCAGCCAACTTTGGTGACTTATCATGGAAGTCGTTTCCAAATGGATTGATTTTTCTTGGAGATGGTTCAGGTGGTGGGGTTGAAGTTGTTGATTCAACTATGAGTTTAGTTGGAACAGGCGGTGGTGTAGCCGGTGAAATGTTGGAAATTGGAGCTCCAATGCTTCGCTTCATATGCATCTCAAACTCTCCAACCTAGTATCATAACAAAAATCAATTAAAATTATTCGTAAGATCCCATATTCAAAAAGCAAAAGACATGCTTCTTTGGATAAACCGATAAAGATGCAAAGTTAGATCTAAGTTGTTGCATACAATGCTATATCAAATGAAGGCCAGCAACATCTGGGCTATATAGATGTGAGCCAACAACATCTTAAAAATTCAATTAGATTGCATGTTCTATATCTATAGTTTTTTGGGGCTAAGTTAAGTCTAAAACCTCAAATTTTAAGACTAACCAAATAAACACACAAAAGGAAAATGTGGAAATTGTACCATGTTTATAGTCTCAGGATTATTAGCATTCAATGAATTTCCATTTTATCCTTTAATTATTCTTGAAGTGTGTTTTTAATTTTATGAAAGCAGAAAACAAGAGACTAGAAGGTCACCTTTAATTTCACTTCAGCAATTTCAGTCTCGTCGCATATTTCTAATAGTAAAGCCTGATCATAAGCAAACCAGACCATGTCAGAGAAAGGAATTTGTAAGATTATAATCAAAAGTACTATCATCATCAAACAGATGCACTTTAACATGTAGGCAATACAACTTTGTCCGATATATCGGTAAAAATAGTGTCAATATGATAGCCCAACTATGTTCATCATACTAAAAGTTTGCGTATGATTATAAGATATTTAAATTCACAAGGCAATGATTCAAGTAGGAAAAATATGTTGATTAGTGGCACACTATTGCTAGTTCCTGGTAAATACTGGTAAATATAAGAAAGGATAGCTATAGACCTCAAATCCATTAGGAAATGTAGCTGTTTGCAAAGATTTTTTCTCCACAGATTCTTCTGTAACGCTATCCAAAGAAGCTGCAACATTATAACATAATCACCAGGTCTTAAGATATAACAGCCAAATTGAATTAACATGTTCCCTCCAAAATGCATTTCTCAATTAGCAAAAATAATGCTCATCAGAAAATAAATAGAATAGTTGCTGAATTTTAAGCATCCAAGTAAACATATAATTCCTTTGGAAGAAGCAAAGAAACAACAAGAAATGACACATGGCCCTTATATTACAGGTCAACCACTTATTCACATACTAATTACGAGCAATGACAGAAGTTAGGAATTTCAAACTCGATCAAGATAGTAATGGTAAATAAAATAAATTATAGAATATAAGTACACAACTAATTTAAGAATCAAAGTAACCCACCCTTGGACTTGGCAGTTTCAATTGCTTCTGTTGGTTTTGAGCAAGACACTAGTGTTTTCTTCCATTTGCTGTGAGAATCATTGTGCTTATCACTAATTGCCAATCTCTGGATGAAAGTCCTATTTTGAAAGTTCCATCCAACATTTTTTATGGGAATTACAACTGGCTTCTTCTGAAGTGAGGATTGCATGTGGGACATAAAGCCTGTGTGACATTTGAAGTCAAAAAGTAACATTAAGCCATCTGATTGCAATGGTTTTCAATATGATCACTAAGAATATGGTGATAACAGTAATAAACTATGAAACACATACTCAGGAAACACATACTCCGAAAACACGACATCGACATTGAAAATACAACATTGACATAAGCACATCGACATTGATAATAATATTAAAAAATAAATAAATTAAATGTAATAGTGTCGACACTAACACACCTTTCTTCATATGTGTCATCTTCAAAGATGTCGGTGTTGGTGTTACATAGATAATAAATACATGAATATCTTGTTTAAATAAAATTTAAAAGTCCTCCGTTTAAATGATACACAATTAGACGTAAGTAACTATCTTTCATGCTACAATGGAAAAGAAACAGAAAATATCATTTTGCAATAAAAAAATGGTTTAACTGTTGGCGATTTTGTATCAACAATGTATTTTAGTAGTAATGTGATTTCTAAAGGCCGATGCAATTATGCGTTAAGTTCGGAGACGAGTTAGGGAAGTGCGGAGTGCACGCTCGTCGAGCCAATGCATAATTGAATACGAATAATTGAAACGGGGTTCCAAGGGGCGAAGCCCCTGGCGGGGTGCGGGGCAGCGCCCCGTTGGGGTTCCAAGGGGCGAAGCCCCTGGCGGGGTGCGGGGCAGCGCCCCGCGGGGTCCAAGGGGCGGAAGCCCCTGGCTGGGGTCCCGCTGACATAACTGTTTCCCAACTGACATATTCGTTTCGAACAAATGTGTCTCTTCGTTTTCAATTACTGTTCTCCTATATAAGGAGTCGTTCGGCCTCGGTCTCGCATACAGGAAAAACGCATCCTTCTCTCTATAATTACAATTCGTTTTCTTTTGTCGGAAACAGAATTTCTTCGAGAATTATCCCCACAAAGATTTCGTGAACCCAGACAAGAATAGGGTCGAAATACTTTGTTCGGAAAGTGTACGAACACGATTCATCGAAGTTATCCAGGATTATCACACCCTAAATTTCTAACATTAACTAGTTATGATTAAGATCGGACATTTACATTGATCAAGATTTTAAAAACCGATCCGTTACCGCGAAAATGGCTGCGACAATTTCAAAAGGTGCCACTAACAACACCGCTATTCACCATTTTTAAAATAAACAATAAATTATGGTTAATTCACACCATGACGACCGCAAGCGGCGTTTACATGTATACATATGTACCGATCGAAATTACCAAATCCTTTACGCGACTATTATTCACCGTTTTTAAGATAAACAACAAATTATGATTAATTCACAGTGTGACCGCAATCAATGTCCCGACTGAAATTATATAAAATCTTGATAATGATATAACTATTACAATTTTAAAAACATACTTGGATTAAATCTTTATCTAGAAACAAATTTTACGTGCATTCATATATCACGAGGCTTCGCGGAAATGTAACATTGCAAAAACAGAGTTGCGATCAAATCGCAAAAACTGTAAATAAATCAAATACGAAAAACAAACAGCGAGATCAGATTCAGAGATGAGAAAACACAGAAGCAAATGTCACATTGCAATGAAGATACGAAAATAGAAAGAGAGACAGAGAGGGATATACAGTGAGAAGATCGAATGGCGGCGGAGGAATCCATGGAAGGAATGAGAATTTGCAGAGAAATGGGTAAAGTGTGAAGAGGTTATGTTATAGAGAAGAAATGTAATGCAAATGGTGAAGTTGCTAACGAAATTAACGTGTTGTTGCAGAATGCTTTGAAATGTTCACATTCTCACTTCACTTTATAATTAATTGAACTTGTCCTTATAATTAATTAAAAACTAAGTGATTCATATCAATCAAAAATATTAATTTAAAGGCTTAATACATGTAATTCCCTAACCTGTTCCGTTTTACTTCATTAACTAAAAAACTTTACAAGCAATTTTATTTCACTTCTCTTTATTTGGTCCATTTTATTAATTTCTAACAAAAAAAAATGTTAAGTTCCGCGCGGTGTCGCGGATGTATAATAAAACTTAAGTTTTAAATGTCATTCAACATTTTATATTATAAAATAAAATTTATCTATTTTAGATCTAAATTAAATCTATCTAAATTTAAAATTAATCAAATTTGTGTGTAGCATTTTCGACACACCTATTTCGACACTCTCTTGTCTCTGTCGAGCAAACTACTTCGACACAAGAAATTACTTTCAACATTCAAGATTAAAAGGGATATTAAGGAAGATTATATCATAATATCATACCGCGTTTGTGCTAGGAAGACAAATATTAGATAAAGTTGTGGTGTTGAATGAAATTATTAATCTAGCTAAGAAGTAAAGGAAGGAGTGCATGTTATTAACATTTGATTTTGAACGGGCATATGCTTGTGTGAGTTGGAGTTACTTAAGATTTATGCTTATGAAGTTTGGTTTTGGATACACATGGATGACGTGGATGGAGACATGTATCTTTAATAGTATCATGTCAATTCTAATTAATGGAAGTCCAACAAGTGATTTCAAAATTGGGAGGGGTTTAAGACAAGGAGATCCATTATCCCATTTATGTTCACAATTATGGTAGAAGGTCCGACAAGTTTGATCAACAAACCAACTAGCTTAGGGAAATTTGATGGTTTCCAAATAAATGATCATATTGAACACACAATATTGTGATTTACTGATGATACCATCTTAGTAGAGAAGGGATGCTGATAGAATCCATGGAGTATAAAAGCAGTATTCACTATGCCAGAAATAACCTACGAAAGCGCTTTTTTTGGGCTTTAAAAGCGCTTAAAAGCGCTCTCGTAGGTGGCGCTGCTAAAGGTTTTAGCAGCGCTTTTTGTTCAGAAAAAAACGCTCTCGTAGGCCTACCTATGAAAGCGCTTTTTGGTAAAAAGCGCTTTCAAAGGTAGGCCTACGAGAGCGCTTTTTTCTGAAAAAGCGCTTTCATAGGTGTATTCAGAATGCGTGTCAGGCAATCTAAAGTAGGCTTATAAGAGCGCTTTTTGTTCAGAAAAAAGCGCTCTCGTAGGCCTACCTATGAAAGCGCTTTTAATCAAAAAGCGCTTTCATAGGTAGGCCTACGAGAGCGCTTTTTTCTTAAAAGCGCTTTCATAGGTTTTCTACTGAAAAATCTAAAATTTAAAAAATTTCTAAACCTGCATTTTTTTGTAGCAAACCTGTAATTCTTAAACCGGTATTTTACAATCTAATCTAGAAATACCAATATATATTAGTTTTAATCCAAATACCAAATGTAATTCAAATACCAAATATTATATATATATATACAAATACCATTATAATCAATTCATATCCAAAATATATATACACCATGGTAATTCAATATTAACATGTTTTTAAACGTAACAAAATACACCCTAAGAAATCAGCTATATAACACTAAGTAAATCAATCCTAATCTACATATATATCCAAGGTCCTGATCCTGCAATATGAACATAATAACACGGTCAGTGTTGTATACACAAAACAATATATTCATAATTAACCAATTTTCACACAACAATGTATTCGTACCTTATTATAAGATTCTTAGCTCAATAAAATATTGGCACAACTCCTCTTTGAGTTCTTCCAATTGACGTGGCGAGTAATATGGACAATTGTATTGATCAAAATACTACATTACAAAACAAAATATATGCATGATTTAGTTTAATGTAATAAATTATATGCAAAATCCGATAAGTAATAAAACAAAGTATAAATCCATACCGTGATTGGAATCTCGATTTCATTCATTTGAATGATTTCTTTGATAAACTTCAAAACAAAGTATCCGCAATCTATGTCGTTTTGTTGTTGAGGGCACTACATAGAAAAACAAATAAGATTATACACATCTATTGATTTATCAAGTAGCATAAATATTATAAGCAAAATTGTTGAAATTTATATACCTGTACTTTGATCCAATTAATGTTGTTTGATTTAGATCGTGGTACTCGTGCTTCCCTTTGACATCGGAATACTTGTATTGAACTGATGACAAAATTAAAATATTTATTTAGAACAATGACATTGAAATAATTAAATATATAAACACAAACGAATATTTAGAATAATGTCACTTACGTATCAATCACTAGCTTCATTTCCGGATAATTTGTCCAATCACCGTCAACCGAATTCAGGTAATAGACCACTTCTTTTATGGGATTGATTGCAAGCAACAACCAGTGACATCTATAAATTAAAGCAACAATTTAGAAGTGAATTTTAATGTAAAAAATACAAATATTAAAAGGAGCTTAGAATGAAAATCTAACCCTGTATTATAAGGCAAAAGATACAAGCTCTCTGTACTGGCAGTTGTCATGAATCTTTCGACCAAGTGTTCTCTTACTGAATCAGGTTCCCTAGAAATTGTTGCTCCGCTGACACGGGAGGAAGACACGAAATGGAATCTATTTGACAATTGATTCCCGCGCATCAATTTGTCAAATAACATCCTTAAATAAAAACATAATTAATATTAGACTATTTCAATTAAATGTTTAAAAAAAATGTTCAACCAATTAAATAATATATTGATCGGGTTACCGGATGTACGAGTGCATCACACTGATGCCTAACTCTCGATGATGAAAGATTTGTTCCATGTCCTCTAATCCAATTGTTTCGGTACATGGAAAACCAAAGACAATTTCATCCACATCGATTTGACGAATTCCATCATTCATCAAATCTGATGTGCCAACTAGTGTCTCCAGACACTGTCGATACCTAGGCACAAATTTACGGACAGGAACCTTCTTCTTAGGTGGAACCCTACTAACTTTCTGGCTCACCTGCTGTGACTGATCTTGAGAAGGTACCTTAAAAATCATATAGAATTATGTAAGATACAAAGTTATGCAGTTTTTTATTCCGATCATAAATGAAACACTTTAAAAGTACCTGTCTTTGCGATGCAATAGACTCGCCGCGCTGCAAAATCCCTTTATCCTTAGATGCGGGTTTTGTAGGAGTCTAAAATTACCATGTATAAAATTCTGGTCAGAACTGTCAGTTGAATACTTAAAGATTCATAATGGTTTTCAACATACCTGATCATCTATGCAGATGAGGTCTGATGGCCATGCCACAAAAGATCCTACTGCATCTCGCAGCAATGTGGTCTCCGCAACAATGTCAGGTACCGGTAGCAATGCATTCATATCTAAAACAACATTAACTGATACCTTCATGTGGCCATCCGGGAGCGGTCTATGGTGAATTAAATCTCCCGAGGTGTTGTGCACTTTTCCCTTGCCAACTACCCGATAAGTCGGAGACGCTAGATACAGCTGACAACATGAAATGCCCTAAACCAATAATAACTGTTAGCCTTCCTTTAATATTGACAATAATAACCGTTATAATTATACTTTCTCTAAATATAATGGATTATCATCTTAATTACCTCGGGAAAATTTTGTTGACAGTTGATACTAGCCTTGTCACTAGTTTCTTTCAACTGTGAACTGCTCCTTTCTGCCATATATCTCTCTTTGTCCCTCTGCAGTTCACTGACTTGTGCTTGTAAATCCTGCAATGTTTGCATCACTTCTGCATTGCTAGGATTTCTTTTTCTTGGATTGTTATACAGAGAGATAGGAGTCACACCATGGCCTTTACCCCTCACTCGTCCCGGATACTCAGCAACACATAGTGCTCGACTGAGTACGCTCCTGATATTCGGGTCATCACCCGTGGATACCGATTGTGATATAGTCTCCTGTAATTCATTTAAATATCGATAATTAAAGACACAACGTTAATTATATATTAATTAAAGACATAATGGTATACTTACACACTCATCATAAATATGTTGCAGATCGGGGTTAACAACTTGATCTCTGCCAACACGAGCTTCCTTCCACAGCACATGTGCAGGTAGTGATGTTTCGTCACTCTGCGTCTCCTCCAACTACGCATGGTTACAAATAATAAAATTATCAATACACATTGTTACAAATTAATAATACACATTGAGATAATTAATAAGATCGTAGAATTGAGATTTACTTACAATTTTTTCCTGTAAGCGTGCATATCCCAAACGACCTTTTTTATATGGATATGCGGGTTTTGACGCTCTCTCCCGATTTACAGCACTCACTTTCTTGAAATTCTCGTCTCTTCTTTGGCCCACAAAAGCAACCCATTCTTCGGGTGTAATGAAGCTCTCATATTTATTTGGTCGTTCAGGATCCTCTTCAACAAAATTTCCTTCATCGTCTTTAAGAAACTTATTTGTCAAAAAATTTCTCCACCCTCTATGTCTTTTTCCGGCCAAGCCCATTATATACTTTTTGCGGGCATCTTCAATGTTAAAAGACCTCTACAAAAAAACATACGCATAGAGGGTGTTAGTATATGTAATTTAAAAACAATATTTTCGTCAAAATAAAGCAAATAACAACAACCATATATGATACCTTTATCTCGGTCCAAATTCTTTCTTTAGCATCCAACTCTCCTTTTTTCCAGCTAGGAGTGGTGATCGGAATGTGCATACGAACAAGCGTACCGATGTAGCTTGTCAGCTTTGCAGAATTAGGCCCAATTAGTTGGTCATCATTATTCCAATCTACATTATACATAATACCTCTATCTCTATCACGGATGAT